ACACAAAACAGGGACCAACAGACGAGACGATGAGGCTATCATAGAACAACATTCAGAGGAAGGTGATGATGACGATGATGACTCGTTGGTGAGGGGCTTTTCGAAGAAGACGTTGATGGGCCGGTAGAGGTCGTACTGGCTCGTAGTACATTTAAATATTTCCTTCATTTTGGGCACCTAAGCTTTTAAATACAACCAGTCTGCAGGAAGGAGACTACATTTATTGAGCTTATAGTGTGTAAATTCACTGGCTTTCCCCGGTAACATTCAAGAACTTAACTCAGATGTGAAGAATCGAATTTTCATCAGGTGGTAGTCTGGGATGTTTGTCTACGCATGATCAAGCAACTCGCTTTCGTCTCGCAACAGAATCTAGTACTCTGAAGGTCTGTTCTCTTTGACCCAGAGCGCTTCCGCTTCCGAGTTTCGTGACGGGGGATTGATACCATTTATTCCCCATAGGCGTCGCTGCAGTAAAACGCATCCCGTCAATTTCTAAGTTCTACATTTCCCATGACAATATACAGGTACTCACGTCCATCTCCGCAATCTGTATCTCCCAGTCAGCACCTCGTGCTTTGATGAACGGCTCTAATGCCTTCTCGTATTTATCCATAAACACTTTCTTGTACTCGTCACTGCGTCGCCTTTCCAATTACGCATCGATTATAGTGACCTGTGAACATACCTATAATGGGCGGCCATGTGATGCACAACGACGCGGACAAAGTTGTCGGTGGCCTCCGCTCCGACATAGAAGTTCTCTTTGTCTACCTCAATGAAGATGACGACGACGTAGAATTTGGGCAGGTGGGAGTAGCATTGTTGGACGGCTTTGTCCTCTTTGGAATAGAATCCGACAGGGATATAGAAGCGGTGGAGAGGCATGTTTGTGGATGCATTTTGGAAAGCATCTTGGGCTCGTTTTATACAAGTCCAAAAGGCGAGTCGCTGGATTCCTATCGACGGTTCGGTATCATAGCACCATGACCGACCTCGGTTACTAACCCTCTGTAATATCCTCGGTCAGAAGGAACACGAGGTCAAGGGATCTTAATAGATAAGAGGCTTCTTTATTTGCCATGAGCCTATTTAAAGATGGTCGTTCAACCGGCACATATATATATATCATCTCTCTGTCTCTGTCTCTTCGCTATCAGACTCGGATTCGTTTTCACGAGTGCATACAGGTCATCCCTCCTAGCTCCTCGTATAGTCCTCGTAACGTTCTATTTTGTTGTCTCTGTTGGAAATATTTCTGCCTTTCTATAAAACCCGTGGTGCCTGTTTTCAGATGCCATGGTAGTAATATCATATAAATACAATTCAACTTCGTTACTGGTGTTTGTTGTTAATAAATAATTCTTGAAGTTGTATCTGCTCAAAATGGACGGGAGGCTTGCATAACTAAATTTAGCCCGGCAGAGCACGGCAACATCGAGCCGAACATTTTTCCGACTTTGTTTTTCTTCTGTGCTCAGTCAAGATGTCGACCGTCGGTGGTTTCGTGCCATTGCCAATCTCTTATTCCTCATCCGTCATACACTATATCTATGCCCGTGCTCATGAGGGTTCTAAAAAGGCCGCCAAACAACTGTGGCCTGTGGGTCGCACGCTGTTTTTGGCAAATTTACCTCCAGATGCGACAGAACGCGAACTTTCGCTATTCTTAAAACCTCACGGAACGATAGAAAGGGTGTGTTTCTCAGAGGATGCCCAAGAAAAGGATACGGTGGAGGAAAGTGATGACAGCGAGAGCGATGAGGAGGTAGACATGGAGACCGAGGGAGTGGTTGCAGAAGGAGAAGACACTCAACCGAAGAAACGACGGCGGCTCAACAAAACCAAGCCTCCACAGCCTCCTCAGGTCATTCCGCTTCCTACAAAACCCCTTCGGACTCTGCGGCACACGGGTCAAACAGCCCATGTCGTCTTTCTCGATTCTTCCTCGCTGGAACGCGCTCTCGTACCACCGACGAAGCCTCGTCCTTGGCTGACGTCAGATGAACCCTCAGGATTGGCTCATTATCTGACCTCGTACGACTCCCTACGGCCTCCACTTGACGCTGTGCGCGCGTATGCCGACTCCGCAATGGAGCTGTACGAGTTCGAGCTGGCCAAAACGAAGCAGAAATCAAAATATCGCAAGGGGGAGGCTATCGTCGACGAGGATGGCTTCACGCTTGTTACGAGAGGCGGCGCGTACGGTCAGACTGTGGGTGGCGGTGTTGCTGTGGCGAGTAAGAAATTCCAGCGGAGTGGTGAGACGAGTAATAGGAATCGGAAGAAAAAGGAGAGCAAGGAGAAGACTGAGTTTTATGCGTTCCAGAAAGCTGAGAAGCAGCGGAGTGGTATGTGGACTTTTCTGTGTTCATCTGACAACCTTTTTTCCTTACGCTTCTGTTTGCAGACTTGATGAAACTTAAGCAGAACTGGGAAGAGACGAAAGCAAAGGTGGAGAAACTGAAAGCGTCGCGACGTTTCAAGCCTTATTAGGTTGTCAGTACTCATGAGTGGTGCGTCTGCATTAACTCAAAACCAGGGATATACGCGCCATTTTGCTCATGCTTGTTTTTTTTGTCTAGTACCGTTCTTCAGGGGCAACGACGGAGGCCGCTTGTAACAGAAGGATTCGACAAAGTAGTCTATGCTGCTGAATATAGTTCGACCTGGATACTTCAGAAAACGTCGAAGGGGTTTATATTCGTGGATATCTGGACGGTTGGCGAAGGTACATGGACACTCTTGTACTAGTGGTACCGAATCTCACAAGGGTTGAGACTGAGAGTCCTCTTCATTCATTGCGACGTATACCGAATCTAGGATAGGTAACCGTACTAACCGGCGAGACTGGTCGTGCCCACAACGATTTTCCAAGCTCCAAATTCCGAACAAAGAAATGCCATGATAATTATCGCAATAAAGATTATAAAGTGTGTGGTAAATTTATGTCCGTCGTAAAGATCTAACGCCTGACTCGACGGTGCGTCCTCAGATATGAAATCCTCCATCTAAATACTGTGTGAAGCAGGCGGCGGCCTCAAACCGTAAATTGGTGAGTATTTTCAGATCGCGGACCGTGGCCTAGTATGTAGAGAGTGGTGATCATAGATGAGGATGAGAGACGTTTATTCTTACCACGGAAAAAGGTATTTAGTTCAACCTACTCGATGAATATTCAGATGAGCGTGGTTCGAACTTCGTACAGGTAGTGGTACAATGTTGGGTTTTGAAAGCGGCGAGCAACGATGAAACTCAAGTCCATCGTGGCAACATGCATCGGTTCGAAAAAATAAGTGCCTTCATCGAACAGAGAATGTCATCGGTCCTAAACGTAGATTCATTAGTCCACGATTGTTATTTAACGCGCTTTTCTTAAATTCGAAATGCAAGCATCCCTTCCTATTCGTTTCGGGCAGGCCTTCATACTGCAAGAAATTTCGGAAATGTTCATAGAGATCACCGGGCCTTGACCACTCATCGTAACAGTAGTCTTCAACGCCAGGATCTCCAAAGTCATAATCAACATATATCTCGAGCCGTACTGAAAATTCCCACGGAAGGCTAACAAGAATACGATCCACTTGCCAATCTGAACGAAAATGAGGCAAAAGGAAGGCATCGTATGGGCAAAAAATGACCTCGAGAATAATATCTTCCACGGACGAAGGGAGCCCCCTGAAGAACGGGTGCACCCATGGAAATGGCCCTCGCCAATCAGATGGGATCCTATCAATGCAAGTCCACCGACTGTCGAAGTAGAGGCTAGCGCGGATGCTGCGAAGTCGGCTTAGTGTCCTAAATCTATGAGGTCTGAGAAGAGATATATCCATGAATGAGACAAGAGAAGATGCAACCTACGAGATTCACACCATTTCGTGACTGGGAGGTGGGAGGAGCAGTGTCAAACCTTCCAAAGAGGAGCTGACTGAAGAGTATAGACGAGGTGGTAATAACTTCCTGGTCAGTCACTGTCAAGATGCTGAGAACGCGGAGGTTCGCTATGGATACTGTGGATTGTGGGAAGAGCAGAGCTTCCAAGATGGGCCCAGTTCTAAGGTGGAAGGGAAACAGCTTTGACGGCTCGGAACCAAATCTGCTGTAGCATTGGCGTCCTCGATCCCAATTTCATCCAGAGTGATGACCTCAAGGTTATTAAAGCTGCCCAGTAGGGAATATAGTTGAGAGGCAGTGTCAAACGCTATCTTGTCCAAGATAAGAGTTCGAACACTAGAAATCGAATGAGGCAAAGGAAACGAGCCAGCATTGAATATGGAAATGTTTCCCCGTGCCAAGTGTATGCAGAACCTTTGGAGGTTAGGGAGGAGCTGCAGTAAGGATGGAAAGATGCTGGTGCCGCTCTCTTCCGGATACCAAATGAAGTCCAGGATGAGAGAACGAACCGATTCCGCCATATATTTCGAAGCCGTGAGGGCTTTTCGGAGCTCGAGGCAGATATCCGTTGGAGATCCACGAGAATCCTGGGCCTGGACCCGTACTTTTGTAAAAAGGTGCCTATTGCTCGGAAGAAGAAAAGGGTGAATGAGCAGGCCTTGAGCGAGGGGAAATCGAAGTGGAGATGGCTCTTAATATTTCTTCCAGTATATCTTGAGGGAGAGCCATGCTCGAACACATCAAGGTCCAAGTCAGACAAAGCGATATCCTACCACCATTCGCCGAAGGGGTGTGGATGCGGCGGTTTGATCGATTCGATCCTTTGCAACCAAAGACGTTTGAAAGACCAATGAAAGACACAGAAGTTGCGAGCAGGGGTCCAACTATTTCTGGCTAAATTAGCAGTGCGCAAGCTGAACGAAAGACAAGTTATAACCTACGCCGTCACATCAGACTGGACCTCCACCAACATAGTAGGCTGACTTGCCTCGAAAGAGAAATTTCTTCGCAACGCTTCTAGCGTTATTCCAGGGACCAAGGAGAAGTAACAAAGTTAGCTAACTTAGAAGGCAGGCCGCAGATCCGAGAAAAAGAAAATCTTAAAGAGACCCCAGCGTGACTCGAACACGCGACCCCGAGATTGTTGTATAATCACTTTGCTAGCGACTACTGCAATCTCATGCTATAACCACTTAGCTATGGAGTCACATTTATTCGTCCAAATCACAGATATATATATGCATGGATCATAATGTCTCTCCTACTCGCCCTTAGCGTGCAACGCGTTAGCATTCTTATTCTCTCCCAGTCATGTCAGAGCCAGAGAAATTTTGGCTGCTCAAGGCAGAACCCGACTCCCGGCTCGTCAAGGGAAATGACGTAAAGGTAACGTCCCTTTTCTGAATTGGATTAGATGATATTCACGATATTGCACCAGGTGCAGTCGCTCTTCATGACTGCCATAGGGTCTTATAGATGTCCCGATAGTTCAGCGTGGACGATTTTGAGACTGTCGGTACATCATCATGGGAGGGTGTTCGCAACTACGAGGCTAGAAATCTCATGAAGGAGATGAAAGTTGGCGACAAGGTACGAAAAGCTCAGTGTCGCCATTGATTCCAGTCAACACGCTGACACGTCCCAGGCTCTTTTCTACCATTCAAATTGCAAAGTTCCTGGTTTGTCTTGTCTTTCTCAGCATGAAATGAATTTTGACGCGTTATGGCATCAAGGAATCGCGGCGTTCGCTGAGGTCTGCCAGCCCTGTCTCATCCCGCTTGCCTTCATTTACGTGGCTCCTACAGGTGGCCAAGGAGGCGTACCCTGATTGTATGTGGATATTACCAGCCAGAATCGCTGAACTCTCAATCCTGGTGCAGACACTGCTTGGGATCCGTATGTTGCTCACGTCTGCGTTGTTCCATGCATGCTAATAACCGCTGTGCCTCAAGTTCGCACCCGTACTTCGACCCTGTATGTTCTATTCCTCATTATTTACCATATTATTTATGACCAGTTCTTTCTAGAAATCAGACAAGGAGAAACCCAAATGGTTTATGGTCGACCTCAAGTTCACCGCCCGAGCACAACACTTTGTCCCTCTATCCTTCTTGCGTTACGTAGGCTCCCATATGATCTCCCAGAGTATCGAATCCATACCGGAAACGGTCCGTTATATCAGTCAGTCTGACATAGAAGCCATTCGATGTAAGTCCGTCTGCTTCTAGGCGTTCTTCTGCGTTTAATACTTCTTAGCTATGGACCTCGTCACTCGTGGACGTCTAAGTGTTCAGCGTGTGGATAAAAAAGCCTGGGATGCGATTAACCTTTTGTCAGAACAAGGAGGCTGGGAAGAACTGAATATCAAACCAGAGCAGAAGAGACAGACAACAACCGCCGCCGGTTCTGGTAAAAAATCGAAGAAAGTCGCTGCTAAGGGCAAGGATGATCAATCGGGGGAGGAGGAGAGCGATGATGAACCGTCGAAACCAACAACCTCGAAGCGAGGGAAGAAACGGAAGGCGGCCACACCTCCAGACGACATGCGGCGTACTCGTAGCTCGACCAGGCATCACTCAGATGCTCCTGTATGAGTTTCTCTGTTATATTTCTGTATTTTCCAGTCGTACCTTTATATGTATCATAATATTTGTTGTCTAATTGCCGTGCTTTTATTTGAGGATGGGGCCGTGACGTCATTTCATCTTTCTCTCCCGCCTACCATGAACTGTCTACGACGCGCCAATATTCTCGCACCCATTCACCAACGAACGTTTTGTTACCAGTCATCTCGTCTTTTTCACTCAAGTTCACGCTGGAGAAGCCTGGGTGATCACGACAGAGGCAGAGGCCTGACCAACATTCTCGCCGACGACAATCCGCCAGCTGTACAAGTCAAGAGGATAACAAATCAAGGCATTCAGCTGGTCGACGGACTTGTCCTACCTTCGGCGTGCATATTTCTTGAGGGACAGGTGTTTCTATGGGATGTACCACAAACTTTGTGGGAGGGATGGGGGAAAGAACACTTGGAGGTTTTTGACCTTGTTTCGCCCAGACCCGGTCCGTTTTTCATCTTTTTTCTGGATTGCATACGCTAATAAGTAATAGAAATTTTACTTCTCGGTACGGGGGCGCGATTGGTGCAGCCACCGCCATTTGTTCGGACATACATGAGCCGACTAGGCGTCCAAGTGGATACGATGGATACCGTGCGTCTGCCACGTCTCTTGAGAATCCATGATCTGATCCCCTCTCTCTTCAGAAAAATGCATGTTCGACATATAACGTATTGGCAGAGGAAGGCCGACGCGTGGCCGCTGCGTTACTTCCTATTTCACCTCACTTATGGCAAAAGACGTTTGTACCATCAAAATAGGAGCGTGAGATGTATCATCGTCGTAGAGAGCCCAACAACTAGAATCAATGACAGCCCCCCAGCTTATCGCCGCCTTCGAAACTGCTTGCTTGACATTACGAGAATGTCTATGTCCTTGTGTATTGCTGGACGAGCTCTATGTCGGTATCACTGATGAAGCTTGGCATGATCAAGTAATGAACTTCATGCGATACGCTACGAGGTTTCACCTGCATGCCTCGGGAAAGGGATTTTAATCAAGAACATGCAAAGTGTTATGGCACATTGTTTATCAGCAGCTCCGATACGCAAGAAGATCTCCGTCAAATGACCTATGGCGAAGAGGTCCAACACACTCATAGCGTTCCTGTTCTGCCAACGATATCAATTGTTGTTCTTCTTCCAGAACCTTGTTTGGACCTAGTGTTCGAGGAATCTCGCGTCGTTGAAATTGATTGGACTTCTGTATGGGATTTTCATGTCCGGCACTCCATTCACGAGCTCATGAGCATACACAGTTGACATAGAGCTCGAGGGCCAACTCGATCTATCATTGCATGAAGGAGTATGTTGTCTTGCTATCGTCGTGTTCGTTGAGGAATCAATTCTGCAGTCATGACAGGACTATGTATCTGTGCGCCGCTGAAGACTCAGCGACACGAAACACTGATACCGTACTGTTGGCTGTATTATAAAGGACAGTGTCCATTATCGGGGACCATTACTAGCTGTGTAAATTCATCTGCTTTTCCCGGTAATATTCAAGAACTAAACCCAGATATGAAGAATCGAATTTTCATCAGGTGGTAGTCTGGGATGTTTATCTACGCATGATCAAGCAACTCGCTTTCGTCTCGCAACAGAATCTAGTACTCTGAAGGTCTGTTCTCTTTGACCCAGAGCGCTTCCGCTTCCGAGTTTCGTGGCGGGGGATTGATACCATTTATTCCCCACAGGCGTCGCTGCAGTAAAACACATCCCGTCAATTTCTAAGTTCTGCATTTCCCAAGACAGAAATAGAGGTACTCACGTCCATCTCCGCAATCTGTATCTCCCAGTCAGCACCTCGTGCCTTGATGAACGGCTCTAATGCCTTCTCGTATTTATCCATAAACACTTTCTTGTACTCATCACTGCGTGACCTTTTAATTGTGCATCGATTATAGTGACCTGTGAACACACCTGAAATGGGCGGCCATGTGATGCACAACTACGCGGACAAAGTTGTCGGTAGCCTCCGCTCCGACATAGAAGTTCTCTTTGTCTACCTCAATGAAGATGACGACGACGTAGAACTTGGGCAGGAAATGGTAGCACTGTTGGACGGCTTTAACTACAGCGGCCTTGTCCTCCTTGGAATAGAATCCGACAGGGATATAGAAGCGGTGGAGAGGCATGTTTGCGGATGCAGTTTGGAAAGCATCTTGAGCTCGTTTTATACAAGTCCAAAGGGCGAGTCGCTGGATTCCAAGATATCAGCGGTTCGGTATCATAGCACCGTGACCGACCCCGGTTACTAAACCTCTGTAATAGCCTCGGTCAGAAAAAACACGAGGTCAAGGCATCTTAATAAGAAGCCTCTTTATTTGCCATGAGCCTATTTAAAGATGGTCGGTCGACCGGCATATAAATCACGGATGCAGATTTTTATATTCATTCGTTACCCGAGATGAAGGCTTTTGAACGATACATATTACAGCACGTTACAAAGAGTTTCATGCAGAAGCTAGCCTTCTGAATCGGATTCGCGCGTGACTCGACTATGACATTCTGGTGGGTAGTAGATACGCAGGCACGTGGTAAGCTGGCGGGGGGTAATAACCACTGTCAGGTCCTCCTTCTGGTATGCCAGGAACGTGTAAAGTTAAGATACCCGGACGAATCGTCCCACGCTGGCAGAATCGCCAAGAAGTATCCCAGTCATGAGCATGTTTCAGGAGTATTGCACCGGACACCAGACAAGGTTCTGCTATAACGAGAAACGAACAATCGGATTAGGCCATGTGACATCGCAATTTCTGGGACCACAACAGATCTAGCGCAAGTCTTTCCGGATAACGGTAGCTAAGTAGAAATACGAGGTGACATGGGACAATGACGCAAAGACAGATGATCGACTGTCAACGGAAGTAGAGCGCTAGACTCGAAGTTTAAGTAGACTAGGCCAAGGGGCCCTCCCAGTAAGTAGGTAGAACGCGGCTTCGAGTTTCACCGACAACCAATTGCAATGAAGTGTAGAAAGGTTGCTTCTGAATGGGACTTATGAAACTGGCAAATGCCGATTGAGAACTGAACGCTATTGGTTGCAGAAGACATCTGGGGGTTTTAGCAGAGCCTACCGCTTTGTATCAACTGAAACAGAGAATCGCGAGTCATTGACGCAAGGAAGAGAAACCAACGTGATACGCTCCGATAAGTAAGACGACGCAATGTTGGCTAGAAGTTTCCATCCAAGTACTTAGTAGTAGTTGCCCTACCAAGAACTGTTCCAGGATTTCTACGTACAAAAAAAGGTTACTAGGTCAGTCGTTCTCAAGCTTGGCTTCCCAAGAGTCTTTACCTCTCTTGTTGAAACTTGACAGGTTCGCTGTAATACGAGGGAAGAGGGTTGTCAAATACCACACCTTGAGGACGCCGATCATACACGAGAATTTGTTACTGTATCGTAAAGCGACGTGGGTTCAAATGAAACGGCGGGTTGGTACTTACAATGTCTGGACCATCTAGGAGGCGGCGTGATGCATCCCGTGCAAATGCGATTGTGTGACTTCAGGACATTGAAGGGTCTAAGCGCCGGAGAAAAGCAAAGTGCTGTACGGGAAGGATACCTGTTGTGAGCATGGGAGAAC